GAGCAGTCCATGTCGGTGGGTCTACAAAGATGCGTCACCATGCTGATCAAGAAGCGTCTATGCCCCCATCCACTGTGGAATTTCATCGAGACGCGGCTTACCCTTCGCGTTCCTGAGATGGGCGTGATGGGCGACTCTCTTGTTCCTGCACATCGATGGGAACACATTATCCAATATCTTCGTGGATGCTCGATGCCTTGGGCGTTCGCCTACCTCAAGACGGTGGCCAATGGCTGGGCGACTTCGCACAAGATACTTCAGCCTCACGGGCGCCTCTCTTGCCGATTTGGTTGCCCGCTCGAACCTGATGCGGTTCACCACTACGTGCAGTGCCAGCCATTTCGCCTTCTTCTGGAGCAAGAACTCGGCTACTCACGGCCCTCCTCACCACTGGGGCGTCTGGGCCTTCTGGGCTCGACTGTCGAGCTGGACAAGATCGTCTTTGACAAGCAAGGCGTGCTGGACTGGGTCTCGCAGCTCTTCCTCATCTTCTTATCGTCTTCCTCGTCTTCATCTTGGTCGTCCTCCCCGCCTTCGTGCGACGTGCCCTGCCCCTCGCCATCGACGCCAACTGCCAGCGTCATTGCGGGCGCCTTCGATCTTGCTGGAAGATCAACTTCTTCGTCCACATCTCCGAGGGCATCACCGCCATCCTCATGCTGCAGACCGTCAGCGCCATCGTCGACTCCCATTGCCGCCGCTACGACAGTGTTGGGGGTGCCTCCTGCCTGCTCTGCTACTGCCTTTGGATCTGAAGCCATGATGCGAGGGGAGCGGCTGGATGTCGAGTCTCAAGATGATGAGGCCTGGCGATCTTCTTCCCGATGCCCGCCACCACCGGTTTGCTTTCTGCTGCATCCGCAAAGCATCACGGCTCAAGCTGGGATATCCATCGACTTACCACCCATGATCGCCCTCGCGCTGGGATTTCTCTTTCAGCCTCTGGCTGTGGCCCATGGGAGCATTGCCAGCACTTCAGATACAACTACGACGAGCACATCGACTCCTTCACTCACGTCTCTGACGCCTTCTACGAGGCGCTCTGACTGGTCTCATGGGTTGCACGACCACTTCGGCGAGCAAGAGCTGGGCAGTGATGGCGAGACTCCGCTTGCGGCAGCGCTTCATGATGAGGACCTCCCTGCCCTCTTTGAATCCGTTGTCCCTGCAGCCGAGGAGGCAGGCCTTCCGCTTGCCGCGCGCCGTAAGGCGCTCTGGGACAGGATTGAGGCATGGGCCCGTTCGTGGATTCCCTCGCTGCTGGTGAACATGTGCGGCTCGGACTTCGATCAATGGATGCGCTGGTGCCCTGACTACGTGGAGAACGCGCTCAGGTACGATGATCTACAATCTCTTTGCGGAGGTTGGGTGAGCAGGCGGCAGCTCGCCCTGGACTGGTGTCTCAGCGGGTGGTACCGCAGCGCCATAGCACGAGAACAACTACGACGTCTCCTTCTTGACCCTTGGCCAGCGCACGATGAGAAGCGGATTTGGCGCCTGCGCCCAGTGGCCATCGCGCATCTGAAGAAGCTCGGGTGGCGCGCCGACCCGACCCGCATGTCCGCGGCCAACCGCGACGAATACTTACTGCAGTTTACGCCGGCCCCTCCGATCACGCCACCTGCGGTCCTGCCGCGCCCCTACCTTCTCCCGCGCTTGCTCGCTGACCAGTCGCTCGGGACACTCGCTCTGAGCGAGCCGCCTCATGATGAGGATAACGCCAGCATCGACCACGATGGAGTGCCGAACCCTTCTGCCTTGGATCTCGAGCTTTTGGTGTCGGGCGTTGGCGACGGCGACGGCCCGTCGGGCCACGATTCGGACATCGCCATGCAAGCTGACGAACCTGCACCACATCATGGGCCGATTCTCAACGATGCTGAATTTGAACGTCAACTCCAACGTGTTCTGCGGCGCTCACGTGATGACTCCGATGACGACATGGCTCGCGACCCTACGGCTACTCCTCGAGAGGTGCCCCTCGGCCTGCGGCACCTGCTGCGCCGACGACACAGAGCGCGAGCAGCTCCTCGAGTGGGCCATCGAGTCTTGATGACGACTTTGATGCAACGATGGCAGCACACGGGTTCGGCGTCATCTACCTGTGCATCGTCAACCACCTGTTGATCATGAGTCTGGTCTTGCGCTACCTGATGAAGGAGGTGGATCTGTGGGGGGACCACCGCTACGCCGAGAGACCGCTCCAGGCATTCCACCTGACGCAGCTCAGGATCATCAGATGGGAAATGAGTTGAGTATGCGGCCGTTGACGTGATGTCGGGTTTGTCTGGTTTGTTGCCACACACCTCGCTTGCTCTTCAACTGGCTCTCGAAACCATTAGTCAAGGCATTGACCCGCGCCCGACCTCGACGGCATTAACCGCGTCTACCCCGAGGGCGACGACTGCGTTGGCTCCAGCTTCTGCGTGGGCTCCGTCGCCGCATGACGAGATCACCCAACAGCAGATCGAGTATGCGATGCGGGCCTTGGATATACTGTGCCCTGTTCTCCCAGCGGATAGACGGGAGATGGTTCGATGGATGCTACGCCACGCTGCCTCCCTCGTCGATGCACGCGATGAGCTGCCAGCAGGCACGGAACGAGATCCTCTTCCTGAACACAGCCCTCTGGCACCCCTGGACGCGGGCACTGCCCCTATGCCTTCGGCGGGGTCGATGACATGATGCTGATCAGCCCTGAGGACGAGAATGACTCCACTCCCGTCCACCATGCGCTTAGTGAAGCGGCAATACAGGTGCATTCTCCTCCTCCTGCTGATGATTTTGCTGGTACTTCGGCTATGAGTGAAGGCGCCTTCCCAGACTACACGCCCTTTGATCCCGCGGCGTTCGATGCAGTTGGGGTTGTCACCGTTGCCTCCCCTCCCGCGGCCTCCCCCGACTTTGACCCTGCTGACCAGGGAGACGGAGGTGTTGGGAGCTTGGCGCACGGCGATGATGGCGCCGCCACGGATCACGTGATCGATGGCGCTGTCCCTCCCGCGCTCCACCTGAGCTTCCCTGTCCTGATCTCCTACGACGACGACTTCATGATCGACATCCCCGCTAGCGCCAGCGGCTCTGCCGGTCCCTCCGTGGTTCGCGTGGGCGCCTTCCCTGGGCACACGCACCTCGACCCAGCGTCGCGCGAGGTTCGCGGCGATGCTGACGGTGTTTCTCCTGCTACAGCCGCCCTTGACGCTGGCCCCGTCGGCAACGACGACGGCAGCGGGAACGCGTGCATGATGAACTTCGACGGGGTCGCCATCGCGCCCGTCGAGTCCGTCGGGGATGACCTCCCCGACCTTGCCCCGAGCCACTCCGAGCAGATCGACGGTGCGTCCGATAGCTCGGTCGGCCTCCTTGCCACCGCCAACGGCGCCCTGGGCTACTTCATCGTGAGCATGAGAGGCTCGGCGCAGGCGCGCACGCAGCGGCCCTAGGCGGGGATAGACAATCGCCAGGGACGCTCGCTCCTCCTCCTGCGTTATCGTGCTCCTCCTGCAGCCTCGCCCCGCCCCCTTCCCTCCTCCCCATCCTTACATCCTTCGTTTCCTCCTTCCCCCCCTGGCCAGAGGCCTCCTGGAGGCCTGCGGAAGTGCCAAACCGAGAAGATCTGAATGACAGTCCGCGCCCTTCGGCGTGAAGGACCCGCTCTGGATTACCTCTGTTTGCGATGCGCCCCGGCCTCGGGCGGCGAGGCTCAAGAGTCGAGAGCTTCGACCCTCGAAGTGCCCAGGACCTATCCAGGTGTGAGTTTTGTCCAGATTTGCGAGGTGGGTCACAGGACGAGGGCGATGTCGTGATGCGCCTGGCTCAGGAGACGTTCGAGGAATTCTGGAGTTTCTGGCGGCCCTCGCTCTTGGAGCCTGCGCAGAGCAATAGACATTCTTGGAAATCGTGGAACGTGCCCTTCTCTTGGCCTCTTGCTTTGCTCCTCTGAGGTCAGGCCGTGGCGGCGAGGGGCATCCTCCAGGAGGCCTCAAAAACACGAGACGGTCAGGAACTTTGGCATAGCATGCCGCGATGCCACCTCTGGCCATCACGCCTCGGCGCGGCACGCTGTCCACTTTCCAGCCCCCCAGCGTCGATGCCCAGAGCTTGTCCCGCCCTCCCGCCCCACGGAGCGCAGCCACGCTCCATCCGCTCGCCGGGGACAGCGCGTCTATCCTTGTGGGCTGGCCTCCACTGTACGCAGAGACTCCTCGCCCGCGCAGCGCGGCACCAGCTGGGGAGGCCCGCCGCCCAGGAGGCTGCTCGGGCCTCGAGCCTTCCACCTCGCGTGCGTTTGGAGCCAGAGCTCCGAGGACCCAGCCGCGGCAGCGAGAAGCCTCCCTCCCCAGAGGCCCAGCAGGTGCGAGAAGCATTCAGAGAGGCCCCGAGCCTCGAGAGCCTCGATCCTCGCCCTCGCAGCGGGGCCCTGGCTTGGGAAACCCGCCGCCCCGGAGGCTGCTCGCGTGCGGTTCCAAGGAGGCCTCCCGGAGGCTTCAGGAGGCCTCAAGAGCCCAGCTTTACGTCGGGCGTGTCCCTCTACAGGAGGAACATTCAAACATAATCCAAAAATTGTATGGTGACGATTGTTTGACTATGTGTTGGCTATTTGTTGGATACTTTGATTTTTCATCCAAAATCCCCCTGCAGGAGGACATGCCCGACCTAAGCCCAGCTTCGAGCCATTTCAGTAATCTTGGCGTAGAAGTGATAATGACGAGGCTGGCTTCTCGGGGTCCCGTTCCAGGGCCGTCTCAAGGCCTCTCCCAGACCCCCGACGTCGTGATGTTTGCAGAACGTCGACAACCAGAGGTCAGCACCCCTTCTCTGGGACCAGTTTTTCGTCCTGAGTCGTTTTCTGGCGGTCCCGGGGCCCAGCGAGGGCCCTGGGAGGCCGAAGATGGCCAAAAACCTTCCGTGGTGACATCTTCGCGACGCGAGGGGCTCTGGGTCAGAGAGCCTCTCGGGGGCCATTTTGTTGGCTTCTGGGGCGGCCCGCCGCCTCGGAGGCTGCTGGCGTGTGGCCCTCCTGGGCGGGACGGCGGCGGCGTGGTGGCCGCCCTCACGGCGCGCGGCTTCGGGGCCGCCGCTCGCCTCGGCGCGCAGACGGGGCCCGTGGCGGTGGCGGGGGCGACCGGAAGCATCCAGGAGGAGAAGGTGCGGTAGAGTCAAGTTGGGCGTGTCCTTCTACAGGAGGAATATCCCACGATAGTCCAAAAATAGCCCAGAGGCGATCTGTCTACGATTTCTGACTGTTTTTGTATATTTTTGGCTGTTCTTCAGTTTTCCGTCAAATATCCGCCTGTAGGGGGACACGCCCGACCTAACGGTAGAGGGAAGGTGCGGCATCGGCTACACGCAAGAGTGACCCTGAGTAAGAGTGACCTTTGGTGCGCGGCTTTTGGGGGGCCTGCGGGGGGGACCAAACACAAGCGCGCAAGACGCTACTATCGCATCGCGTTCGGCGATCGGGGGGGGCCCAGGCCCCCATGGGCCCGCAACCGAGGTCACTCCTGCGACGGGTCACTCTTACGTGTAAGTCTATGGTAGAGGAAAACAGTAGTGGACTCCCCCGCCCCCCCGAAACACTCAAAGTCGGCACGCGCGGGGGGTCGAGGTGCAGTCATCCAACCCGCCGCCAACATCGATCATTGGGGGGAGGAATGGACACATGAACGTGGCGTGAGTGTTCGCTAATTTCTTCCGAGGCCTGTACCGACCCCAGACCTCCTCGCGTTTGTGTTGGATGTTGATGTTGATTACTAAACAATGATTTTTGTTGGACCCCTTACAGGCGCCCTGGAACTCTCGCCGAGGCGCCGGCTGCATTCTCATTGAAAATGAGGCTCACTCTCAAGCGGTTTGGGGGGCCGCCAAAATCGGCCCCCAAACAACAACAGCGCTCCCGTTCGAGACTTCCTCAATTTTTTCTCAGGGCCAGTGCTCTTGCTCGCCGCCGAAAGCAGCCGTCTCAACAAAACCAGCGCTCCCGCTCGAGACTTCCTCCCGTTTTACCTTGGACAGGCGTGCTACTTTTTCTCTCATCGGCGCCACCCCCCAGCAACAACAACGCTCCCGCGACTTCCTCTCTTTTTTACTCGAGGCGGTGCTCTTGCTCGCCGCCGACAGCCCCCGTCCCAACAAAACCAGCGCTCCCGCCCGAGACTTCCTCCCGTTGTATGCTGGACTGGCGCCCTTTTCTCCTCCTCCTCCTCCTCCTCCTCCTCCTCCTCCTCCTCCTCCTCATCATCATCATCATCATCATCATCATCATCCTCGTCCTCCTTGTCCTCCTCCTCTTCCTCCTCCTCCTCTTCCTCCTTCTCCTCATCATCCTCCTCCTCCTCCTTCTTCCTCCTTCTCCTCCCCCCTCCCCCCCCCTCCCTCCTCTTCCTCCTTCTTTCCTCCACCCCCTCCTCCTCTCCCTCCTCCCTCCTCCCTGCTCCGTCCCTCTTTCCTCCCTTTTCCTCCCTCCCCCTTTCTCCTCCCTTTCCTCCTCCTCCTCCTCCTCGTCCTCCCTTCTCCTCCTCCTCCTCCTCCTCCTCCTCCATTTTTTTTTTTGGCTCAAGCATTTGGCTTGAGCTGGCCACGGTGGCGTTTGCTCCTGCATTCGTTATTATTGCATGCGTACTTTCCTTCTTTCCGGCAATGGCACGGCGTGCCATCAAGACTCTGTTTAACGAGATTCATCTGCTTAAACTCGAGATCGGACAGCTACATAAGCAGAAACAGAAACCTCAGCTTTCTCTGGACGTGCTGATCCCACGGGTAGACAAATGGCATGATGATATTCAGCAGCGTAACGATGAACAACAGCGTGAGGGCCATCCACTTCACCACCTACAGCGTGAGGATGATCAACAGCGTGTGGAAGATCAACTGCATCAGGATGATCAGCAGCGCAATGATAATCTACAGCGAGAGGACGATCTACAGCGTGTGGAAGATCAACCACATTAGGATGATCAGCAGCGTAAGGACGTCCTTCAGCGTGCGGGCGATCAACAGCGTGAGGATGATCTACATCGTGAGGATGATCAACAGAGTGATGCCAAACGGCAGCCTGAAGACGATCTACAGCGTGTGGACGATCAGCAGCGAGAGGACGCTCAACAGCGAGAGTATGTTCAACAGCGTGTGGGCGATCTACGGCGTAAGGATGATCAACAGCGAGATGATCTTCAACAGCGACAGGATCATCAACCGCGTGTGGACGATCAACAGCGTGAAGACGAACAACAGCGTGAGCACGATCAACTGCGCAAGGACGATCAACAGGGAGAGGACGATCAGCATCGTCCGAGTGACGTACATCGGCCAGGCGAGCAGCAGCGTGAGGACGAGCAGCAGCGAGGGGATGTGCAACAACGTGTGGGCGATCAACAGGGCGAGGGCGATCAACAGGGTGAGGGCGATCCACAAGGTGAGGGCGATCAACAGGAGGATGTCGAGAGGTATAAGGATTTTGTCTACAAGATGAGTGCGACAGTCTGCTATGATGAATGGTGGTGCGATAGGTCTTCGATATCTGGAACGCTTAGGGAGCTGGGGCTCGTCTTCTCTGAGATTCGCTTGCAGACCGTCCTGGACAGCTACGAGGCACAGGGGCTGCCTATGACTGACCTCGCAGAGGTGGCGGCAGCTGCTGGACTCTTCCCGAAAGAACATGTTGCATGGATTCGTCGCGCCGGACATGATCTGAGAGCTGCTTGTAGTGAGTGATCTGGTTGGGCAGGGCTTGCATGTGTCTGAGTTGGTTTAGTTTCGTGCTGGTCGACCTCGACTCTTACAGCACGCCACCACCACCACCTCCTCCTCCTCCTTTTTCTCCTCCTCCTCCTTTTCCTCCTCCTCCTCCTCCCTCATTTCCCCTCTCTCTTCCTCCCTCTTCCTCCCTCCACCCCCTCCTCTTCTCCCTCCTCCCCCCTCCCTCTCCCGTCCGTCTTTCCTCCCTCCTCCCTCCTCCTTTCCCTGTTCGTCCCCCATTTGTCTCCTCCCTCCTCCTGACTCCCTCCTCCCTCCTTCCTCCTCCCTTCCCCTTCCATCCTCCCTCGTCGCTCCCGCTTGATACTTCCTCACCTGTTACTCCAGACTGGGGCCCTCGTTTCGGCATCGCCTCCGGGGGGCTTCCAAGAGTCCCTGTTGAACCTTAAGTTTTTCGTAACTATTATTTTTGGAGCATAGATAATGTGGAGGAGGTGGAGGAGGTAAAGAAGGAGGACGGATGACTTCCAGGGACTCCAAGGCTCGAGGGTCGGTATTTTCTTGGGCGGGAGATCTGGGGGACGGAATATCGGACCCCGCATGCCAGAAACAATCCCCCCTATGATGGGACGCGGTATCCAGAAGGATGCATGCCACATGTGGAAGCATGGCGCATGAAGGTAAAATGATTGTTGTTGTCGTTAAGCTCTCACTTCTGAAGAATAATTATCGCTGATTATTACCCCGTCACCGGCGCATGCTGTTTTTTCTCCATCAAAGTGCGCCCTTCGACGCTCGCACCCCGTTTTTTGACGGGAAGTCTCGGTGCTCAAACTGCGCCCTTGGCCCCCCTTATTACAACAACAACAACAACAACAACAACGGCTCCCGCCTGAGACTTCCTCCAAATTTTCTCAGGACCCCCGCCCCTGAGACTTCCTCACAATTTATTCAGGATCGGTGCTCCCGCCTATGACCTCCTCGCAGTTTAGTTGGGACCCCCGCTCACATCTGAGACTTCCCGGCGCTCCCGCTCGAGACTTCCTCGCAATTGAATAAAGACCTCCTCGCAATTGAATAAATACCCCCGCTCCCGCCAGAGAATCCTTCATTTTATTTAGGACTTGCGCTCTCGCCCGTGACTTCCATGCAATGTATTCAGAAATCGCGCTTTCGACGCTCAGGAAACACGCTGCGCCAAGGACGCCGTTACAATTTACTTGGTAATCGCGCTCTCGCCATACTCAGGCATCCCGCTTGAATGTCCCACCCGCCCGACGCGCCCGTCAGGGGATCGCCCGCCCGTCGTGGGCCCCCGCCCGACATTTCCTTCAGGAACGGCGCTTTCGCTTAGGAATTCCTCGAACGTTCACGCTCCTATCTTCCTGTTCCTGCTCTCTCTCCCTTCTCCCTCCCCCCTCCTTTCCTCCCTTCTCTTTCCCTCCTTTCTTCCCTCATCCTTATGCCTCTCTGCCCTATCCTTGTCCCTCCTCTCCCTCCTCCATTCTCCCTCCCCTCTCCTGCCTCCTCCCTCCCTTTTTTTCTCGCTTTCCCTTCTCTCTCTCTCTCTCTCTCTCTTTTTTTCTCTCTCTCTCTCTCTCTCTCTCCCTCTTTATCTCTCTCTCTCTCTCTCTCTCTCTCTTTGTTTTTTGTTTTGCTCTCTCTCTCTCTCTCTATATATATATATATGGATGTATTGCTCTACCTCTCTTATCTGTCTTTATTTCTCTCTCTCTCTCTTTCTCTCTCTGCCTCTAATCAACCGCCCCCGTCTTCGCTCCTTCTCTCCTGGCGTTTTCCCTCTTCCTTCGTCCCTCCCCCTCCCTTCCCCCCACTCTCACTCGTTCTCCCCCTCTTCTTTTTGCAGGGCCCACAACTATTCCAATGGCGGGCACATGTACGCCCACGAAGGATTGTCCGTCCGTTGAGGTTTGCATGCCTGTCTAAGCCCGCCGCCCCCCGCAAAGAGAAACAATCCCCCAAAGGGGGCGTGATCGAATACATGAAGGGCGGGTATCGCGGGCGTGGGGAGCTCGTTTTGAATGACACGCGGGCAAGTAAGAGCAAACAGTATTAGAATGATTGTTGTTGTTGCTGTTCTTGTTGCGGTTGCTGTTGTGGTGGTGGCTGTTGTTTTCTTATAGTATACATATATAGATGTGTAGTTCTGCTAGATATAAACGCATGCTGTAATTATCTATGTACGTAATTATGTATTTATTTTCGGCCTCCGGGGGCTCTCGCCGCGCCCAGAGAGCGACAACAAACGCTTCGGGGCGAGAAACCGGTCTCGGGGAAGGGGCCCAGAGCCCCGCGGGGTCGACGTTGCCAACAAAAATAGCACGACGCCAGGGATTGGGGGATGCCGCTGCCCTGCGCCCGCTTTCCCCTTTCTCGGTTTCCTGGGAGGCCCTCGTCGCCGCCGCTGGATTCATCTCGACATCCGGGCCAAGACTCGGCGACTACAAAAGTTATGGTTACGCCGGGGTGTGGTTTGCGATCGGCACCGTTGGGGCCTGGGGGGCACGACGCTGTCCTCGTCGGGCCTCCGCGGGGCGCGGGAGAACTCTATTGAGGTCCCCGCGCGCCCCCCAGGGTGCCCCCCAGGATGCTCCCCAGGGTGCCGGTTGCAAACTTCACCCTTTGCAAACCACACCCTTTGGAGCCGCCGACAGACGCACCCAGGGACAGGTCCGGGAAGTGGCTGTATCGGCACCGTGCGGTCGCCCCGGAAGCGTCCAGGAGACGACGGAGGAGGGGCGGAGCTGGACCTCCCAGGGTGCCAAGAAGTGCCCCTCCAGACCCGTAGACCTGTCTGGGCTGCCCAGAGCCTCGACTGGAGTGCAGATGTCGAGGCGCGGCTGCTAGCTCTTGGCCCCCCTGGGAGGTCAGGGGAGGAGGGGGCCCGAGGATCGACATTCCGAGCGGGGCGGAGGAGGGGGGCGAGGGAGGGGCCGGAGGAGGGGCCGGAGGAGGGGCGGAGGAGAGGGCGGAGGAGGAGGACGGAGGAGGGACGCAGCGGGCGGACGGAGGGGTGCTTGGGAGGTTCTTCTAGGCCTCACAGATGGGGTCCGAGTAGAGGTGTCGGAGGATCGCGCCGCATCGCCGATGCATCGGCGATGCGGCTCGATGCGAAGCCTAATGTTCGCCGGTGCGTCGGCGATGCACTGTCGATGGGGCGCGATCCTCCGACCCCATCTGCTCAGACCCCATTCGGGCTTCATCTATGGAGGTTCTGGACGGTCCTTGCCGTTGTGCACTGCGGTTCTTCGCTCTTCTGCTTCCCATTGCGTGCGCACTGGATCATGGGTTACGAGGCTGATCGAGCGATGCGCTCCGATGTTTGTTCGGACAGCGGCCAGCAAAACGCGACAGCTCACGCAAGCCAACGTTCGTCCAACGCCAAAAGGGGCGAGAGGGGGCCCGAGGATCGATATTCGAGGGTGGGTGTTTTTTGTTCAGTTAGAACGCTTTTAGGGGGGGCCTCTTGGAGGCACCTCGTCGCCGCGGCCGGATTTTTCTCGGATTCACCCCAGGGCATGTCCGTGGGCCGATGCTTGAGAGGCGGTCCCTGACATCATCCAGCGCACTCCAAAAAACAGGGCGGAGTCTAAGACTCCGCCCTCAGGCACTGTCAAAAAGCTACTCGGGAGGAAAAGTCGCCGCCTGTATTCCTCTGCGAGACTTGGCGCAAGTTTTTCCCGCGCCGCGTCGGAACCCCCAGACCCCCAAATTTCAATGTTAATGCCGAAACAGATGACTCCCACATTTTCGTCGGCGTCCGCGGACCGTGCGGCGCGCGCAACTGAACATGGAAATCGGGGGCGAAGGGGGTCGGCTAAACTTGCTGTACGTTTCGCGGAGAGCTGCAGGGACCTCGCACGGAAAAAAATCTGACGCCGGGGGTCTGGGAGGCTGCTGGGGTCGAGGCGGGGGGGAAGGGAGTCGAGGACAGTGGCTTCGGATACGTCGGCGGCATTGGATAAGAAATGTGCCCAGTAAGCTGCAGACCCTGGAGGATTCCTTATCCGATGAGGGCGGCGGTGACATCCATGGATGGTCGATCCACGACTGGAGATCCACCAGCTTCAAGACCCTGGATTCCTTATCGAAGGGTTCCTCGTCCAATGCCCCCACCGTACTTTGGGGTTTTGTTTGAAGCTTCTGGAGCTTAGCTGCTCTGATACGCACGTTTTAAAACGTAACGCATGCCGTGTTCAAAACGTCCGTGTTGAGTCTACGTGTTGAGCTCCGTATCAATACGCTACGTGTTGCGTGTTGCGTATCGGGGCAGCTAAGTTCTGGAGGCTTCAAGGAGGGACCTCTTTGAGGGACCTGCGGAGACCCCGGGGACTCCCGGGGACACCCAGACGAGGTGGGTGGCTCGGGGGAGGGGGGGGGAGGGGGCGTGGGCGACCAGGAGGCGCCCTCCGCCCTCCTCCTCCTCCTCCTCCTCCTCCTCCTCCTCATCCTCCTCCTCCTCCTCCTCCTCCTCTTTCTCATCCTTCTCCTCCTCCTCCTCCTCCTCCTCCTCCTCCTCCTCCTCCTGCTCTTCAGAGTCGAACAGCCCAGTGAGCTTGGCTTGTTCTTCTGCACCTTCTGCCAAATCATCTGCCGTGTCCAACTGAAGAGGAGGCACTGCCACCGTGGACGGGAGAGTGTCGACCAGCTCCTTGCGAAGCTGCTCCACCACCTTCTGAGCCACGACCTGCATGGCCTCGATGCCGTCGAGCTTTTCTTGTGCATGCCGTGCGATCTCCTTTTGTTCCGCCGCCTGCGCCGCCAACTTCTCACACTTGAGCTCGGCGCGCTGCAGACGATGACCCACATTAGTATGCACAGTGAACTCAGGCTTGAAGCTATGAAGTTGCTTCCTCGCCTCTTGCAATTGAGCGTCCAGAGCAATCCGTGCCTCATCGCTTCCTGGGACCTTGTCCAGCGCGAGACGGGCTTGCTCCAGGTGCTGAATCGTCTCTCGTAAGACTTGAGCCTGAACGGCTTCTTCACCTTTGTTGCTGCTGTGTGAATCACCTTGGCCACGAGTGCTGCCACTGGGAGCACTGCCGTTGCCACAGTTGCCTGCCAGCTTGTCATACTCGATCTGA